ATTTTTTAATATTGAGAAAGAAAATCGTCTCCGACATGTGTTCAGGTACACATGCTTGTTAAATTCAATGTTAAATATTCTTATTCCAAATTGTGTTTAAATATTCTTACTAGATAAAAATTCTTACAAAATTCTTGCGTCTGTTTTCGCAGTTCCGCACCGATAAGTCGAGGAAACAAATTGAGCCGAAGGCTCTTTTGTCTCAGAAGCGAGCTTTGGACTGTTGATTGCCGTCGGTATGCCCGTCAACGGAGTACGCGTGCTGCCGGACATACCGAAGAGTATGCCGAACATGGGGATCTTGATTCAGGAGTTCGAAACGGGTTTCTGTTCGACGCCGGCCAGCTGCCAGGATACCGCGCCGAAATCGTCGACCTTGAGCCACGGCAATTTCGTCAAAAAGATTGTTGAAGCTTACGAGTCAAGCGTGAAAGCGTCCAACAGGCCTCCACGGGAACGAACTAGAGAAAGAAGTGATTTCTTGAATACTCTTGATGCCAAGAACCACAGGAACGTAGAGAAGAGCTCGGGACCCGCGATATGCGAAACGGCCCACTGGGACAACTTTCAGAAGGAATTCAACTACTTTTCGACTTCGCTCGAGACACACGAGGTCGAAGGTGACTTTGTGATTCTTAATCGGTATCACTCGGAGAGCGATGTCAAAACAGCTTCTGATGCATGGCTGGGATTCCCCCCCAAGATCAATATGTACAGCTCCATAGGCGAATTCTCGATGGAATCTCAATCCAGTCCGTCGACGAGGAATAAAACGTGGAGCCTGAAGAGGAGAAATGAAAAATTCGACGATAAAACGAGGAAGAAGAAATTAATAGTTTGCTCAAGTCCTTTGGAGGATGTTGAAGACAAAGATTTGAACTGCGAGACTCTTGACGACATCTTAACAAGCTCTTGCGACTCAAGCAATAACAGTTACAGAAATTTACAAGCTAATCTATATTGCTTTGAAGACAAACAACTCGGACTCTCCTCAACTTCGCTGCCATCGTTGAGGTCCCCCTTGAGATCGTCGCACAGTAACATATTAAATAATAATAAACATTCAAGTAGGACCCTCGATACTAAACAATATATATGTGAAAACGCCTAATGCGGGTCAACAAGGCAAGATGTAGGTAGCCCGACTTGTAGATCTTCAAATCTTTCAGAAAAATCGTGAATCTTTATACCGTTTCTTTCCACATTAGTACTACGCACCGAATTGGTTTTTCGGACATAACGCAGGTTTTTGTCTTTAAACGTGGAAATATCGAGCAGGTAAGACGCCCGTCACGGATTGAGGGAGGTCCCAGGTTCGAATCCTGGTTGGGGTAATATTTTTCGCAATAAAATTAATTTACAGGACGGGGAAAATGGGGGAAGGGAGGGGATTGAATGCTAAATATAGCATCAGAAAAAAAAATGTTAATTGCATTTGAAAAAAATAATCATCGAAACGAATACGTGAATCTGCTGACGACAATATTTCCACGTTTAAAGACAAAAACCTGCGTTATGTCCGAAAAACCAATTCGGTGCGTAGTACTAATGTGGAAAGAAACGGTATAAAGATTCACGATTTTTCTGAAAGATTTGAAGATCTACAAGTCGGGCTACCTACATCTTGCCTTGTTGACCCGCATTAGGCGTTTTCACATATATATTAAATAATGATGACGGTAGCCTAGACTCATCATCCTTTCTCGACATAACCGTTACATCTTCCAAAGATGTTTCAGAGGATCGAGATAATCTTCGGGATTCTAAACCGGTTCCAAATCCATCGTATAATCTCGACCAAAAGTCGCCGCGAGCAAAAGGCGCTTTGCCCAATGAAGCCCAGCCGGTCAAGATCGACAGCGATACCTGTATGACGTGGATATCAACCCTGGGCGACAAGCTGTCTCGAAAGAAACAGCTGAAGAAGTTACTAAAGTCGGCATTCGGCACTAAACTGTTGAACAAGAAGGTATGCAAAAAACCGGCCGAGAAGCAGCCGAATGAACGTACTTCCGACTCTGGGTTTACCGAACGATTTCTGTCCTCTTCGTCCTCTCCCTCGCAGAGATCCTGGCGCCCCAATCCCACCGAGAAACCGCCGGCGCCGCCGACATTTGGAACCTTCGGCCGCGAGAAAAACGCTTGCGTCAGTAACAAGACGTGGTCAAAGAGCTCTCGCATGGTCTTGACTGAAGTGCCCCGCGAAGAGTTTGCGAGCGAGTCTGAGCCTTCCGACTCGATCTCCTGGATATCTTCACGTGGCTCAACCACCTCCTGCAAAGAGAACCGCGGGAACGTCGTTGAATCTCCGTTGAAGAGCACGATGCTCACGAATTCTTCGACGTTGAAAGCCTCCTGTGGATACCCGCCGCATCCTGAGTGCCCTCGTCCGGCCTGGAACGGGATCCCCGAACAGCCCTTTATCGCGGAGACAAAGCCGGATCGAACAACGGAGGAGCGGATGAGATGCGACGCGAAGGAACGCGAATTTGATATGCGTGAATTGGAATCTTCAGGTACGTCGTCTACGTCTCAAACCGACCTAAACATCTCGCACTCCAAGATATCTCAGTGGTTGACTTCATCTTCAAACTGCAACTGCAATCTTTTGAGGTAATTGTTATGATAACAACATAATTTATTGTTATTAGTAACAGCACTTTGTTGTAACGTAAAAATATGATAATATAATAATGTATATGTATAAAAAATTAATGATAGATATTAATATACAACATAATATGTATAAAGATTATATCTAAAATATTATATATAATAGACTTGGCCATAATGGAGAAAAAGACGAAATTTTATTTTGGCTTTTCAGTTCTTATTCTTCGTTAAAGATAATTTAGAGATAATAAGTAACAAAATATTAATTTATACATATAATGCGCAATGCTCTTGAAACAATCGAGCGATGAAAAATGGATGATAAATATGTGTGTATGGATACATTCAGATCACGTTTGTGCAAGTCAACGTCGGCGCTTGATGGGCTCGTTCCTCAGCGGACACCGGTCAATAATGTTCTTATGTGCAAGTCCACCATGGATTTCTTGTCTACCGTGCACAATGATTCGTGCGCGCAGAGAGAATCCTGCACGCACCGTTACGCCACCGTGAGTCCGAAAAATTTGAGATTCTCCATGTCGCGAGAGAAATCGCGGGCGATCGAAAGGAGTTTCAATGCCTAGAAGGACACCGGCGCTCTTCCCCTCGGGAGGTACTTTCGGCTGGGTGGAATTTTCCAGATTGCGATTTAATTAAACTTCGCTGAAGTACGTCACGCTGGATAGTAATCTATCTAAATTACGATCAAACTGCTCGCAATCGAATGTTGGTATTTGAAAATTAATTTAACGATTGACCGTTTAACAATTATTTACAGCTCAAACTGCGCACGTCACTTTACTTAGTTCTAAGATCAATTTAATTCTTATTAGTATCGTTAGATCGACGAGAGCTACTTTGATTTATGCTTGATTCGCAGTATTCGCTGCTTACGCCGAAATGGCCGGCAAATCATTGGCAGATTTGTCGCGTCAGTTCGTTCTGATGTATTGATATTATTGACACTGCCAATCCCGAAATAGAGTTATACAATTGTCTTACTCAGGAGGATTCCGATTTAATGAGAAATTTTGATTGACAATTTAATTTACTTATCTACTGAGTCATCCCGTAAATAACGCGGTATAAAAGGGAACTTGATTTATTCTTTAGCTCGAAATCGAAAGACTTTTATCGCTAGGGAATTGAAGTTTTAAGATTAAGTAGTTGTCAATAATAATTTTGGATAAAAATTAAAAGGTCAAATTTTTTGTTACATAAATCATTGGTTTCAAAGTTGTCTTTAACGAAACCGCACTACTTATGGGATAACCCAATATTTATTTATTATCTCTATTTACATGTCTAAGACGATATTCAACAAAATTGAACTTGTACGAATCTTAAAATAATTATCTTTTGTTTAGCTTTATAGTTTTATAATACCGATTGCGATGAGAGATTATTCTTGATTAAAATTCGGTTAAGAGAATGGGCCAATTAAGAATCCGCAAAGTTAAAAATTCGATTTGTACGCGTCTCACTTGTCTCCTCTTTTTCGAGAAACGTCAGCACGAGTACCCGGAGAGATTTCCACCAAAGAGGAGGCCGTGCGATGGCGTAATTTTATCTTTTGCAAATTTTCTACCGGAAAAAGTAACATATAATAATGTCTTGCTCATTCTTCGTAAAATTTTGCAAATCACCGTCGCACACGAGAACGCATTTTTAATCTCTCCTATTCAGCATTTCAATATTTTATTCAATTAATCTCTTTCCGCTTTCCCGTGCTACGTAAAAGAGGTAAAAGGAATTTGACATTTGCGAACAGTTCCATTTACTGGTCCGTTTCTCTCGTCGAAATCGGCAGGTTCCAATACACGACAGATTCATGATATCGTGGTGCTCTCGGTCATTTCTTGCGAAATGACACGACGAAGATTCTTTCAAAGATAAGGTTATACGAAGAACGATATCATGTAATCTTTATCCTTATTGACAAAGATACTCTCCTCGAGTCTCTCGTATTTCTTCCGGAAATGTTGAAGAAGATCTCGAGTAGCAGTGAACGAATTATTAGTTGTACAACAGCGACTTCGCAGCTCCTGACGCAAAAGCTTATATGTTGTCTATTATTGTTTAGGAATAAGCATTTTTGATACGATATTGCATGCAATTGCCTTCGCGCATTATGTTCGAAAGATTAATATATACAAAATGTTTTTACTCAACTTTCAGAACTTTAAATATCCTTTCGATAAGTGTGTAAATCCTTCGATCGTCTTCTTTATGATTATTACAATTAGTGCAAATTTGTAAGTATAAATATTCCTTTAAGAAATTGGACTCATCTTATCAGATTATTTGTAGAAATTGCATAGAGATACTGCCGGCACATCCTTCGGGAAATATCCCCCAATTTGACGAAAATTATTGACGCGATGCTTCAAATTCCTAAGTTTCTTCCGTAGTTAGACGCTCGTCAGAGATGTTTACGAATCTAATATTAATGATATGCATGGAGAACACATCGTCGGCACCATAACATCGGTAAAATGGAAATTTTCATAATGCCGAGCAACGTGACGAAATTTATTTGTACCTAATAGTCGATGTCAAGTCGATTTGCATGAAGTTCGCAGTCGGGGATGATTATAGCGCTCACGACAATAATCATCCGATGTGACGATGGCAAACACGTAAAGATGGGATATGTTTGTAGAAGTTTGTTTGGTGGAGGTACTGTCTCTCTCTCTCTCTCTCTCTCTCTCTCTCTCTGTAATGTAGTGGAAACTGCACGTAACGACTCACCGAAAGGCGAGTTGTTGTCGCGGCTTTATAGATTCCCTGGGTGAAGCTGTTCATTTCGAAGAGCAACTGCCCATTTGTGTTCCGTCATGGACCTTACTCGAAACAGCGTCACTCTCTTAATCCTTCGATAGCAATGCGTTTTTCTCCCGCGGGATTGTTAGAACACAACATCCTCGCAAGTTTCCTTTCGGTCGTGATTATTTTGTTTAATTTAATCTTAACAAAATCGTAGAGCATTGTCTTAATATTGTCAGTCCTGCCAGTAAGCGATTACTTAATGGAGTTCTTGAACAATATTTCGTAGAAATCAGGGTTCGTTTGGCGAAATTGTGTAATCCATTTGAGATTAATTTGACAACACCGTATCATTTACGTTCTTCGTCGAGGAACGCTGTGGAACTTAATAATTGCTCGTGCGATATTATAATTGCAGATAATCGTAACGTGTTATTAGCGTAAACTACTGTAAACTGACAGCTGCTGTCGAGTGGTATCAGTATGACAAGCGACAAACTCGGGAATTTCATTATTGTCTATCTATCTCGTCTCGTGAAATTCAATTAATCCTCAAAACCGAATTTATCGGCTCCGTTCTTCGTCCTTTACATCCTGTTTGATTCCCGCGTGTCGAATTCGTTAAACCTTTCGCTGCGTGTACCGTAGCCATCGCAGAACTATCGCCCGTAAAAAAATCGACGATTTGAAAAGGATTGGTAGGAATTTGCTTGTTTTATATTTCCGATCTTCGAAATCAGGATTTCGTTCGACAACTTTTACATTTCTGTTCTCCCTGTTTCCATATATCCATTCTAATTCGTGGATATGCAAGATTCGATCGCGGATTACATAATAAATAGCAGGCAGGATGGTTCCTTTTCTACAGAATTAATTAGATTAAAAAAATATTGCAGCACGCGATACGTCTCTATACATCTCGCAGAGATCTGAAACGTTATTTCGCGAGGAAATACAAAGCGAGAGAAGTGCTAATTGTTAAAAAGTATTATTGTTATAACGTTCTTTTCCAATGAAATTCAAATATTTAAACTCAAGTTTCAAAAATTCGTTCCCTTGAATGTTTGCCAAATTCACTCTTGGAACATCGAGCCTGGATATCACGTACGATCGCTCGATGACGTAGGTAGTAGCGTTTGCAGTTTTCCGCCCACGTTTAAAAATGGGCAATGACGTAAGTACATCCATTGAAACTCGCCCACACGTACATACTAGGGTGATCTCCGGGGATCTTCTCTTCTATGGATTCTCCGATCAATTTCTCTCTCGGGTCAATCTTTTTGTCGCAAAGACAAAGGAAAATAACATTTTTGTTTCCCTGAAAACAATACTTACGCGATAGTTTAACGTTTAAATAAAAAGAGCATCCATGTTCAGCGAATTCGAAAGGGAAAGTAGCGAGCTGTTTTCGTCGTATAGCGAAAATGCGCACGATTAATATTGCATCGATTCTGTTTGAAAATAAAGCGTATCTGATAGGGAATTCGTGTTGTGTGAATTACGAATATCTACCTTCGATAAGCCTGTGTTTAAAGTTTAACGACAGGGAAAGTCCCCGTTGCTTAAGCATTTAGAGAAAAGGTCGAAGAAGATTTACGGTTCACCGAGCCGTAAATCTCCCTGGGATTTAGGATCTACCGTTTACGCTATTCAGATCCCGGAGGCGACGATTCCCATTATCGAGGAAGCGAGTTAACAAACTCGTTTAACCGAATTAACATCGAACCCTGTACCTCCCCATAAACTAACGCAAATTAATATGGCGAGAGGCCAGTCAACCAATAGTGGCGAAATCTCGTGTGCCCCTGTTTTGTATCATATTTTAATTAATTCAATATAGTCACCCTGACGCGAAACAGAAAGCCTCTCCTCATACATAGCGACTGCTTCTTCAAACTTTTCTTTTGTAAAAATTTATATTTTATTAAAATGTTTAAGATAATTTATAATAAATAATAGAAAATATTTATTATAAGGTGTTATTAATATATTATTATTATAAGATCATATTATAAGATAATATTATAAGATTATTATAATAATAATATAAATTATTATATTTAGAAAATTTAATATACAACTCCATTGGAAATAAAAATAAGATCATTTCTAAAACCTTTTTTTAAATATATGCTTATATGCTCTTAATAATAACTTTATAAATAATCTTACATAATTTATCTTCTTGAAAAATTCGGTTTTTAAAGAGAAACTTTTACAACTTGTCCTTTTGTAAGATAGAAATTTCATTTCCTTCAATATGGATCGTAAAACTGGGAAACCTCCACTACTTAATATAATGATTTTTTTTCCTATTTTATCGCGCGATCAGTTTGAACTATTGCGCGCAGAGGAAGGAGATCGCGTGCATCTGCTTGTGAGAGAATAACGTCGGCGGAAACCGGCGAAAGGAGCAATTTTCCGGAACGATGGCGTGGAAAATAGATGCATCGCCATTGTGGTAACATTGCTGACTGCCGATGACGGCGATTTTCTCATTTTCTTCCATTTTTCCTTACATCGACGGCCGTTGCTCGCACCTCGTAATGTCATCGTCCATAAACGAAGCGTCACGTTTTCCTGAGAAACCGCCGGAACAGAAAGTCATTGTTTGCTGAAACTTTAACTGGGGTATAATATTAGAAAAGGCATAAAAACAGGATTATTGGACCTTTCCGAACGTTTTTAGAATAATGGGAATAATAGGAAAGCTACTTGGAGAGTTTTCAAGTACTACGTGAAAAGCGTAATCCCCCAAGGACATGAATTATTATATAGTCTGTTCTTAGCACAGTTGTACGAACCTGCCTCCTCGTGAAAATGCACTTTTACTAGGAGGAAGAAAATAGTTTTTTTATTTCTTGTCTTTTAAAATCGCACATATAGAGTCCTTAATATTACGGTGGCTGCATTTCATCATTGTTTCTCATATCCTTTTTTACGTCTCTTTCATACTGAATGTTTCCACAAAGAGAAAATTGAGGCATTGTCAATAACGTCAAAAACTGTTCCATTGTTGAAGTAATGGCGTACTCGAGAGCAATAATAATCCAGGTTATATTTGAGTGAGTCGTGTGCATGTAAAATATAATGCATTGTCCCTGCAGTATAATGTATTGATAACAGAAGAATATCGTTTAATGCTAAGAAAAGAAAATGTCAAAGCTTTTGTTTTCTAACAAACAAATGCTACTTAATTATAGATTATAATAACGTATTATATGCAAAAAGGAAATTATTCACACTAACAATTGCAGTAATTGATAATATGCAACATTTTGCATTATTTTAATCTTCGAAATAAAACTTTTTACTTGTAATGTTACGCGTTCCTGATCATAAAGCAAGACGGAAGCATAAATTTTATTTTAATTCGAAAAGTGAAGAAAAACTTGCGAAAGCACCTAATGTAATACTATTTGTTTTGACCGTAGCGGTTTTCTTATAGTTCAATAAATTCGAAAATATTTAATATTTGTCATGAATATAGAATTGTTAGTTTAGATAGATCCTTTTATTATTGTAGCCACGTATAGACATTTTTCTCTCAAATTTCCGCATCGTTCACTTTGGAGCCTCTGATTATCCCGCCGCAAGCAAGACGAAGTAATACTATGCAAATTCAATGACGCCAAATTGACACGGAACACCGGTTAGAAGGAGGTTGTATCTAAACCGTAAGCAAAACACTTCGTTTGCATCCCATAATTTTTACCGAGCTATCATATTATTCTAAGATGTTATTCTTTTGTATCAAAGGATATCGCCAAAAATATTTCGTACTTTTTATGTGTGTGCGTGACCGTTTCTTTCTCTCAATAATACTTAAAAAATATTTTAATCCTTATTGATGCAGTAATCATTCTTACATTCTTAAAGAATATTTTCTTCGACGCATCATGTAACTGAAATAATTAATAAAATTTTTGGTTATTGGAAAGACATTTATTCAAAAATAATTTATTATTTTATTAAGAAAAAAATATGATATTGTAGCGCGTAGCATTTTACTCGTGGTACATTTTTCAAGAGAGAGAATATGCTTTGAAAGGGAAATACTTGAGGCTTTAACATTACTTAAAAAAAAATCTAATCAAGCACTTTTGAGTTAGTAAAGGATAATCTCTTTGATCATGCCGAATCTCTACATTTCCTGAAACTCACGATCGTTTGACTTTCCTTTGCAGCGGTGCAAGCACATTTGTGCATTATTCTACAGCTTTTGAAGTAATCTAGTAAAATTTGCATCAAAGCTAGAATGTAGATGAAGAGAATATTGTTTGAAATGAAACAGCTCGCCGTTCTCCTCGGTGTTTTTGATACTAGAATTAGCTCTTCTCATCAACAAATCCTTTACTAGCAGAAACAGGGTAATATATTTTCGCGTCGCGTCCTTTGTCAACTTTATCATTTCTAATTTAACACAATACGGGATTGTTTTACTCCGTTACCGAAGAGAAAGAGGGTGGATTAGATTTAATTTTGTCGACCTTGTCTCTCCGCGGTCTGTGACATAATTTATAAAATTTAGATTCCAAAATTATAATTTCATCAAAATGGAAAAAAGAGATTTTACGAATTTACATTTTTCTTCTTAAATTTCTTGCTGTGAAAATTTATATGTTCTCTTCGTCAATATATATCGAATTTCCTCTGCTTCACGCGTTGATGCAAACTTATCAAATCTTGGAAAAGCGTTGCACTGAGAGATATGAAATGTATAAAGGAAAATATGTCAGAAATGTGAGATTGTCGGGCTTTATATTTTTCCTCGATTTTAATATTTCAACATTTCTCATTTTCTTCATCTCTTTCTTTTGCAAGCTAGCATCTCTTTGCACAAAAAAGGAGATAAGTGTGTTTACTTGAGCAAGAATTATTCGACGAGTGAAAAGAAAAAGAAGAGGAATTATTGATAAAGACAGCAACAATACGGAAGAGAAAGATGAATACCGTTGAAATCAGGGAAATAGCTGATATTCCAGTTTCCTCCTTTCTCGCTTTTTTAACGACCGAGCTATTCGCCTACTATTTGTCAATGTCCAGACCTTCACCGCTCGTAAACAACGCAAGTCGATCGACGGTTGGTCGAAGTCCTCACGTACGACGATAACGATATTGGTTCTTTCCGCGTTGCTTTTGACATAAACCAATAAAATGTGTCGATATCAACGACACGAAGATGTTTTGACGGTAAAATTCAGTTGGTCGGTTTTATAAATGATGGTCCGTTGTGTAATATGAAGCTCTTTCTATGATGTACGATTTACTATGTAGAGACACGGATTTCGCACGTTGTTAGACAAGAGTAATATATAAAAATGATTGACACTTTTATCAGCCATAATAATAGTGATACGTTTAGTACCCTTTAGTACTCTTGCATTATTTTTGAATCAAGGAAGTAGTGAAAAAGTTCGAGATCAAGTTTTTTCAAACGACTGACAGGACATTTTACAATTGAATTGATTACAGTTAACAAACTCAAATGTATGTAAATATATATTAAATATATATAAACATATATTAAATATATAATATTTTAAAGTGCGTAGATATGTGATTTTTTCTTGTACAGTTTCTTGTAAAAAAATATCACCACTCGCAGAATTTATATTATTTAATTAATTTTGAAAAGAATCATTGAGATGTATCTGTAAACCGGTAAACTATCGGGGTATTTTTTCTATGTATTTTCTTCGCAGCATTTTAGTATGCCTGAACTACCTTTGGAAATTCTTCAAGCGTTATGAACGATCCTTGATTACTGCAAAGAAGTTCTGCAGATACTGTGTTTTAACGATACGGCTAAACTTTGCATTTCGTGAAAACTTCGTTAATCGCATGAATGACTATGATTATGATAATTGTACTTTGATATATAACATAAAACAACAATATTTCTCAATATTTCTCGTTGGAAAAGAACATCCACGAAGTAAGAAGCAAAATTTATATGTTTAAAATTATGTGAAGCAATATAAAAATGTCTGTAAATAACAAAACGATATATTAGTTATTAAATAATATATAGTTACATTTTAAATATGATTATCGACTAATGTACTTTTTATATTTTACTTTTCTTTCTGTTTGTAATTCAGGGGAGATGATTTTGCGGCCTTCTAAGTCTATACGTTTTTGCAACCTCAGATAATCGTATTACGTAGTTATATGTATTAAACAATTTTCTCGATCGATGGATAAATCGACCGTAAATTGCGCGCGCGTGATTAACAATTTGCTTCAGGCGCAAGTCCTCGGAAGTCAATTCTTCGTAACAGTACTTTGCAATTTATGAAATTGTTAATTTTCTTCGCGTCAGCTTGGAGCATGGCGCTGCAACACGCAATGAAAGTACCGATAGTAAAGCTTTTGTATATAATCATTATGTACAGCGCTGTTGAGAAATTTTCAAAGTTTAATATAAAGAGAAAGGTTGCCGATATTCAGAAGCAATTTACCTAAAAATGCTTTATTTGTACCGCGTTATTTATGTTACTCGTATGTAAACTCGTGCATTCTTACGTTATCAATGGAAATCTGTTTAAATCGTAATTTAATCGACAAATTCTTTCAGCTCCGGCTGGTACAATTACGGATTTGCGCTGTCTCGGTACGACCGTTTTTAAAATTCGCTTCGCACATGTTTCGGGAAAGGCGGCATCTTTTGAGCATTAAATCCAAAAGAGGCTGCTGTAATCAGTAACGGGAACAATTCGCATGCAAATGCTGTTGCGCGCAGCTTCACCGTCGCAGCTCACGTTCGTGCTACTACTGAGTAAAGCGAAAGTAGTTTAAAGCGGATGTAGTCGTACGGAAGAAGCGAGCTCCTGAGGATTCGCCCGACGAGATTTGATCAATCTTAATCGAACGTCGATCTTTTTAACTCAACCTGAGAGGTAAATGCTGCGTAGAGAAAATTTTCAATTTCTAATTATGCGGGGGGGGGGGAATACGTATGACACATTTTACGATTATTCTCGCATCCAGAATTTATTTCATTGCAAAATTAAATAAATGTCCCTTGTTATAGATGATATTATAAATACGAAAAATGCAATTCAATTTTATTTTCTGATATTATTTGAAGATTGTTAATGCAGGCCATTTTTCACATGTATCAACTTAATAGAAGAAACACGTCGGAGTCCACGCATTAGATATTTACAGTTAAAATACGGAGATGTTGCGATTTCTCTCACTTTTATCGCCAGCGCGCTCTCAGTGAAGTTGCAGTAGTATAACCAGATATGTGGTCATCAGTGAGGCGATCTGAAAGCAATATCGATCACATAATGATTTTCCAATATCCGAATAAAGTCCAGGTATTCGATGTATCTGAAATAACCGAGCCGTATAAATTATTATACTATTATAACGTTATTTGTGAATTAATATAAGATCGCTTCGCAATCCCTTTCTCTTTACGTTGAGATATAAAATAACAATATGCAGAATACAAAACACAAGTTGTTAATTATCGTTCATTAGACGATTCCTGAAATGTGTTTAGAGTCTCGATGAACACGCTGCGCGTAATTGCGACGTAAATATAGAGAGTGGCGTCAAGATCAGAGACAATTTCTTGCAAGAAAACCGGAGCCTCGCGTTAAGCAGAAACTCGCGGGAGCTTTAAGGGTCGGACGGCCCTCCAAGTTATGTACTCGTACAATTGCACTACTAGCTGTAAAGTTTCGCGCAAGTATTAGTTCCTAACGGCAACGTAACGACTCGAGTACACACGAGCCCTCATTCAGCTTGCAGGACTCGTGAAATCGAAGGGCGCGTTCCGGTTACGCGATTTACCAGCACGTTTGCGCTAATATTACGGTGTCCCGAATTATTTGCGAATACTGGACCGAGGTCAATCAATTAAGCTCCACTTCCTTATATCACAATATTTAATATAAAAACACTTGAACGGTGAACATTTGTTTTCCTAGTCGCGTGTCTATTGATACAAAAACGAATAGAGCTACTTGCATTTGTTGTATATTCAAAGCCCACGTTGACAAACATTCCACGCGGTATGTTCCGCGAGCACATGTGGACGCAGCAATTAATAAAAATATTTATATACACGGCGAGATACAGTTATTATTTCATATGCACGGCGTTTCAATTTAAAACCACATTTGCTTTTAATTTATATTTCGATGTAAATCCTAACGTTCATTTTCATCTCGCGGTTTTGACATAACTGTTATCTTTGCCGCTACGTATCTATAATTTTGCATAGAAATATCGCATCTGATAAACGTGACGCTTTTACTATCTCGATTGAATCATCAACGCGACGTGGAGAATACAGGAATGCACGTTCGTCTTTAAGTCGTATAGTTGCCGTGATAACATCGTAGTGAGAAACGTATTTAATTTTCCACGAGATCACCTAGGTAATTCAGCAATTTTGAAACGATGATCGATGCGAATGATTTACGTTTATTCGTAACATCTAAATAAAATAAAAAACACGCAGGTCTTAATACCGCGCAGCTCTCGTCATCATTAATCCTCTTAATCCTTCGATATACGTGTTCTACATGTGCAGGAAACGTCGCTCTCATCCGGTATTAAACTTTTAGCTAAGTTGAAATTTGAGCGACGGATCGTGAGATTAATTGCTACATACTTGCGATTGTTCTCGCGTGCATGGGAAGTAAAGTGCATGCGATATAATGTCTGATATCAAAATTCCTGTGTAATCCACAACTAGAGGTATTTAACTGTGTACATTTACACAACGATTGTTCAAATAGCGATCACAAACTGGAATAATTAATATATATATAAAGCCCGAAAAAGAATATTTTTTACACAATTAAAATGTATCTCACGTTTCTTTACATTTTTACGTACCGAACGTAATAACGGTAAGTTCACGTAAAAGCATCCGCCAGCGGAGAACTTTAACCTTCGGTTTAGAAGGTGCAATGACAATTCGACGTCGTCCTGTGTTCAGAGAGAAGTCTTTATTGCAGCCGTATAAGATATTTGCCATATGCAACATAACAAAGATACAAAAGGGAGACACTTTAAAGGAAATAAATAAGATCGCAATTAGGACAGAGAGAATACATTAACGTTTGGTGAACAAAGAATTGGATTTGACCCCTGTTGGATGAAATAAAAAGATAAAGTAGGTACGTCAAGCAGTAACGGCTTCATCCACTTACTTTATTTCTCTTCATCAATCTTACTTGCCACTCGATCAGAATCGGCCCCATGCAATTAGCCTGAAATAAATCATGTTCTTACATCCTCGAATTTAAAAAAGTGCTGTTTTATTTATATTTAAACATTGAGTTTTTGTTAATGTCTTTTGTCATATTTCTATTTAATATATGCACACCCGAGTCGAAATTTTGGTACTATTTTGATATTTTTAAGGATAATTTGCACCTACTTAGCTGATCTATAAACCTACATAGATCACCAATAACCTACTTTGATGAAATTCTATTTCTTTACTCTTCCCTTGAATCTTTAATTCTAAAAATGTTACGGCTTCATCCACTTACTTTATTTTTCGACGAACTTTAGCTCCTACTTAAAAGGACCTACTTTAATGCTAAATTGGCAAAAGTAGAAATTTCCGACACTATCAGTTTTAAAGTAGGAGTAAATTTTGTACTCGCAGTTCAACCTCTTTTACTGTCTTAGATCCTACTATGTAATAGAATTAAAGGTTCAACATAGGGCAAAAATTTCGACTCGGCTACATATCAGCCGTTTTATTTCATATAATATTGTCCAAAATTTGCACGTGCTGATTATAAATTCTTATCACATTCTTGCGTTGTTATCACTCGACACTATTTAGCATCGAGTGCAAGGGGCTGTTCTATAATACTTCGCATCGGCAGGAAAGTTTTACTTGAGACGAGGCGAAGTCACAAGCGGCATGAAGTAGTAACAGTTGGAGGAGAAACGCCAGTAGCCAGATGCTCAAGCAGGAGATTAGCGGCCATGACTGCACTTCCCACTTTTTCACGAGCATCCACTCGATTATGAAATATATGTTGCTGACGGTGTGCACGCTGAGACTGCTCAGCCAAAAGAGCAGCGACCACGAATACAGCGACTCTAAGTTCTCCGCAGTAATCATCAAATCGTTATGCAGACTCAGGATCGTCTTTTGTAATCAAATATTAACTGTTTTGTAATCTCGTTTACGATCAATTTAGCTATGATATAAATATTCGACGTTTAACTTGAATGCTTTGTATTTTATGTTACATCAGGTCGTAATTATGTCATTCTTAAGAAAACTAAATGAAACCTTTTTGCTAATAGTTCCATTGCCCTCCGCCGGTGAGGTCGGTAGATTTTTTACCGCAATCATGTTAAGATGATGAAACCGCTGGCCTAGAAAAATAGCCACCGCCACGAACTTGTAGATGGCCACCGACGTACCGATGTAGGGTATCATGTATCCTACATTCGAGGTCCATTTCTCTGAAAAGGCGTACATTCCCAAGCGATTAATTGCGATCCAGATAAGCGTGCTCACAATTACGAGGATCCAACCGGCGATCGCAGTACGCGTTTCTTTGCGAGGATGGCCCAGTTGCCTGACGCCCTCGTCGTAATCTTGTAGCGCATTCCAAATCTTGACGAAGCTGCGTCTCGTGAATGCCGCCAAACCCAACTCGTACATTACCACGCTGTAGTTCATGATCACCTGAACGATTTCATTTATTCATCGTTGATATAACAACGTCAGTGTTTTCTTGACTGTATCCCGGCATCTTCAATAATACGGAAAATTTATTGCGAAAAATATTATCTCAGCCAGGATTTGAACCTGGACCTCCCTGCACTCTAGGCGGGCGTCTCACCAATTCGACCACCGAGGCATATGATAATATTTGTCGCAATAACAGTATAAAGATGTCTACATTTTCGACTTTTGTGAACTGCGCGCCGGTAAGGCTGGTCGACCGTACACAGGACTGTCGAATATACGATTTTTAAGTTTTCTTTATACTGTTATTGCGACAAATATTATCGTATGACTCGGTGGTCGAATTGGTGAAACGCCCGCCTAGAGTGTAGGGAGGTCCAGGTTCAAACCCTGGCTGAGGTAATAGTTTTCGCAATAAATTTTCCGTACTATTAAAGATGCCAGGTATGGTCAAGAAAACACTGACGTTGTTAATTGCCGCTGGCGACATTGAAGAATTCTGATTAATTGATATAATACTCTGAGCTCTCGTTGATTTAGAAACTTGAAATTTAGATGCTTAACTTACCCTCTAAAAGTCAATCAGTGGATTATCACTGAAAAACAGTGACTATGACTTTTACAGAGTAGAATTATTGAAAGAATCGGACACAAGTTGAGGTAAATTTGGCAACATTTCTATCCAAATGATTTAAATAAGTAAAATCTTGATTTACCTATTTTTGATGATATGTCTGTACCGCGTGTAATACTCTGTTCAATCTGAACTAATTTCTTACTGACCTTTGTGTTCTCCGTTCCACCAAGAGTCCAGGTTTCTCTCTTGACATTTAGAAACCTGATAAACACTACATCGTACAAGATATAAGTGTAGAGAATAGTGGCGATTGACGTGAAGATCAAGTTAATGTTTGACGGCACCAGACGATCCTGCGAAAAGTTATAAGGAGCGAAGCCGAATACGCGCACGACGAAGATCATCGGCCAAGTGGCATTGTAAAGAGGCGAGTCTGAACCGCGTCGCTTCTTGACCCGCTTCTTCTTCAGTTTGGCGAGTATGGTCTCCACGTCGAAAGGAAGAGTTTGTAACTCCATGGCCAACGAGAAGTCGATCACAGCTTCGAATCAACGAGATCTAGCAAGCATGAGTTCCACGATGCGGCCTTCACTAATGAGGTGGAACTTGCACCTGTCTACGAAGTATTATTTACTATAAGTACTATACACTGATAGAAAAATATGTAGTGTTTGAAACCACAATTGCATAGTACAATAATTATAGTCAGGAATATCATTTTTATAGTAATTATTACTATAATATTAGTAATAGCAATCGTATAGACACAGTGATGCCAACTATTTAAAACATTTACTATAAAATATAAGCTTTTAACTATTATCCTGTTAAAATATCCAGGTAATGAATAGTAAATTAGTTAATTACTTTTATATAGTAAATGTAACTACATTTCTATCATCCACAGCACTAATCACTTGGTAAACAAAAGTGAAGTGGTTCGGAATGTCCTCACTAGAGGGACGCGCGGTATAAGACTTTCTCGTAAGAAGAAAATCGCATAGGGTGTTATAAGTACGGGTAAGTTTATACATTCGTATGAGATTACTTATCTTTTCTTTGAAAGACGCTTTCTTGTACTATTCTTTATGAGTGCAAAGCGATGTAACCAATAAACATAGTGAACGCCATTGTATTATATATAATAAAAAGCGGGAAATATTACTAATGAAAATTATATCTTAATAAGCATTTTATAGAATTAAAATAAAATTTTTTAAATTAAAAATTATCTATTTTTCGATAATTAATAAATACTTAAAGCAATGCAATGCAAGTTTTAATTTGTTTCTTATTTTTTAAATATTAGGTGCCACCTAATGAATAATTTTCTTGAATAAAGTAATATTTTTTTAATTAAGCTATTTTTTATCAGTGTATTAGACGGTTATTAGATGTCTATACTGTCCAATAGCCATCCAATATAGACGACAGTCTGACTTTTATTTTGATAACGGGATAAATGAACAATTATTCTCACTGGAGATAAATATTGGAAACGTACCGTAAACATGTGAATGTATGTATAATACTATATTGAAATAAGATTTTATATATCAATTGTGTGAAATTTTTAAGCATGAAAATGTTAGAGATATAAGCCCAAAATTTCTGTGGGACACTCGTTATAATACGCTTCCCCTTCTTCTCACCGTGAGAACTTTGCTTGGTTTCTTTGTACATACGGAATTGCTGAAGTTAATTATTTGTTAAAGTCAATTAGTGTGACGAACGCGGGGCGAAAGCAAAGTTTTACAATCGCAGGAAGGTCGATAATGTAGCTACCAATCAGGTGCATCTTCAATTTCGTGAGTAAATATTGAATCAACCAAGTCCTGAAAAGTCTGCGCGCTTTTGTTTGGTGTCCCGGAAATCACCACGTTCATCGATCAATTGCATTGTCCTAGAAAACGTAACGCCGAGAGACAATGTGGAACTACGATAGATAAAACTGTAAGGAAGATAGTAAGAAGAACACGGAAAGCGCGGGATAAATGAACAATTACGGGGAGACGTCATAAATCCTGACGAGGAAGTTTATTCTTCTTTTAACATGCAGTTCCACTTAAAATGCAATCGATCGCGCGATAAAACTAACTATTACGTTCAAAAATCCCGAACATCTCTCGCTCTTTATTCCGGAAGTTAGGCGAGTTTTAACGTGGCCCCAGGGCTATTCCGGAACTCGTCGCAGAGCTCAAACTTTTTCCGCGAGTTCGACGTCAACTTTCCGACGACGGGAACGTTATAAATCCCCAAAATATAACCGAGGTGAGAGATATAAAGGAAATAAAAAGACTTATATAATCTCGGAAATGGTAAATATTCGCGTAGAAAATTCAACGTCCGAAATGTAACAGTGAGCGCAATATATTATATTTACTGGGATTTACCCCTCGCAACCGTGTTAGCCGTAAATCATTACGTTGCGTAAATTGGAAATGTTCGGGCATGTTACAGCAGGACCGGCGTGTACTCACGCTGCGACAGGTCGAGCCCTCGAAGCGCATCGATTGTCCTGGACGACGTCGTGAGGACTACGGGCACTCGGCGCTTTCACGGCACTTTCGTCACGCGCGATAAAGCGGGATTAGAGCCGCTCGCGTAAACATACCCGCGAGACAGGCACACAAACAATGTATGCGCGCGAATACCACCGTTAAATATTATTCCACGTCGGCCCCGAATGAATAATTGAACAGCAGAGAAGAATAATAGGTGGAGGCAACCGGTCGAAGCGGATACGCCGGTAGATAGCTGTAATTGTATCGCACGAAGAGACTGCCAGTTTGTATTCAAGGCCACACGCGCCGTCGACGCGCCGATTTCATTGCACGGGATGCACCCCATTTTACTTCGATCTCCACGAAACTCTTGTAAAACGAAGAGAGATAACATCAATATATATCTATTTCGTACAAATGGCTAAGACTAGTGATCGAGCGATCGTTTCTGATCGCTTCTAAGTTTTAGATTAGTGCCCCATTTCTTGTATAAAAGATAGGATTCCGAAATTTATTTGATAACTTTTTATCAATCAAATAATTGACGAGAAGTCCTATTTTTTCCCGACAACCCTTGTCGGCGCGCAGTTCATATAAGTCGAAAATATACGCGTATAGACAACATCGTTATACTGTCATTGAGACAAATATTATCATATGCCTCGGTGGTCGAATTGATGAGACGTCTAGAGTGTAGGGAGGTCCGGGTTCAAATCCTGGCTTAGGTAATATTTTTCGCAATAAATTTTCCGTATTATTAAGGATGCCAGGTATGGTCAAGAAAACATTGACGTTATTAATTAACGCTGGCGACATTGAAGAATTTTGCTTAGTTTCCTATCTTTTACACGAGAAATTGGGTATTGATCTAAAAAAAATAGAAACGGCAGAAAAGACTACTCGGTACTTCTAATCATTTGTGATGAAATAATGCGTGGGGAATAAAAGATATTTCTCTCAAAAATAGAATAATAATAAATATTTGTCATTGATTTCCACTAGAACAATTTTAAAAAATTACCCGTCCGTTGTTTTAACAATTAAAAACGATTGAAAATAATAATATTAAATATAATATGAAATAATAATCGAATGATGATAAATTGTTTTTGCAAGGTATTTATGTCGCTGCTACAATCCGGAAATGTGTATAATTCGAGAAGAAAACTATTTTCGATCATATTTTTGTACGAAGTAATTAATAAATTATATGTTATTGTGAATATGCGCGGAGTATGTGCGTTCTGCCAACGTAAAATATAATAATAAAACCGTCAAACCATCAAAACACAGCGAGTAGCACGGAGAGTAAAATAACAATTAAATTATAATATAGACATCTTCAACTCGGGGGAACGTGAAGAGGCGTCGAATGTAGGCGAGCGAGAGAGCATTAAACGCGAATAAACAGCACGATATTAGACAGAGAAAATCTAGGGTACTATTCCATTCGGACAACGCTCTCGAGAAATGTAATTTAACGCGGACGGACGATATGCGGACGAGTGCTCGAAACAGCGAGAGAAACGAAATGTATTTTCATATATTTCCTGCGCGAAAAAGTGATGAAATCACATACCAGCCCCAAAGAATAATACAGACGACGTAGATAAATTCCATATGCGGACCGGGCGCGTTTAGGCAAGCAATTTTTCCTTGTTACTCGCATAACTGTTTAGAGAAAAATATTAATTATCCAAGTAATAGAAATAATTAGATTTTGTCAATTAATGACGTTTGAATAGCGAACGATCGATTGTGATAAATGCAATACAAGAGTTAACAGATATAATTCCACTTGACAATGGAAACAAATTTCGACAGTAAATTGTTCGCTGCTTTATGCATGTTAATCGCGTGATAATATTCCAGAATTAACAATTAGCAGGGCATGATATTACGAAGACATTAAGCACCGAGTAATTTAATTCAAATTAAGCTTAAATTAAATTTCAGCAGAATTGCGCCGGTAGATACAATCTTCGATCCTGTCGCTGTTTGCCTTCTACGAGAAAGTTCGATTGAATCGGGAAGGAACAAAAGAATTGTCAGTGGCCGGAAGAGCAGAGTGGAAAAGAGTGCTTTTAAGGACAATGCCGTGAATGCTGGCGGCGAATACCCGGTCTCTCATGCAATTAGATGGAAATGACGGAAAAAAACTTGGCGACGAAGCGACTGGGAATGCCATCCACAAATAGTCTGCATATTAAGAGAATACACATGTCACGAAAGGGGCGTATATTACGGGCGATAAGTCGCGAACGTTAAAGTGCTGGGCGATCTCGGAATGGAGTACGAGAAAAGTATTCCCGTCCGTCGCGGTGCCCACGTTATAAATTCTCTTGAACTGAAATTTAATATAAATGAAAAGGGAAAGAGACCGGCGAGTCGCGCGCGGGTTTTTATCTCGTAAAATTCATTTCAGAAATAAATCCTCGGACAAATTGGATTCTACTTAGAAGTAGGAAACGTAAATTGAATAGAAATTCTCGGCGTATTTTTTCCCATGCGAGTCTAATACGGATCTAATCCACTTTATTTTGACCGGGCAAGACAGATTAAATGAGCCAGCACGGATCGAGGAGGAAATCCAGTCATGTTCCACATTGTTTAATCGCCTCAAGATAAACGCGCACCGCCGAAGTCACCCTACGTCTCGACAGCTAATTCATTATTCCGATCGGCGCGAACGATTAAACCGCCAAATCCAGATAATGGAATGACGTGATTTTCGGCTGGAAACCTGTTCCAGGAATAAACGCTACTCCCACTTCCTGCCGTTATTTGCAACTTTTGCGACATTTTCATGAAAAGCAAAAATTGCTTCAAAAACATTGCATCATTGCCGAAACCTATTTTTCATAGCACTTTTTTTTCATTTAATTCAGAAATTAACCGACTAATATTTTTCAGAAGAAATAGGTGTAAAAATTATTTTTCCGTGAAAATATTTTACTCTATATATTTTTACATATTGTCGTAAAATTTGCTTTATTTATTTATTGATACGTAAATAATTTATTTTTAAGTAAAATTTCCGTATGCATGTGTGTAAAATAATTCAGATTAAACTTTAGAGATCATATTGGAGATTTTTAAAAATTGTAAGAAGTTTGCTCTAACAATAAGAAATGGTACAATGAATGTATAATATAACATTGCGAAATGTAACGCTGCTTCAAAGACATTATAATCTCTAAAGATTTATATATGAATTATAAATCCATGAATAACAAATATGAACATTAACTCTAAAGATTTATATATGAATTATAAGTCCATAAATAACAAATATGAACATTAACTCTCTAAAGATTTATATATAAATTATGAATCCATAAACAACAAAACAATAATTAAAATGATAACAATTGTTGCAACCATTACACAAGTCATATTAAATTCAAACAGTTTAAGTTCAGACTATGACGCGCGGAGAACATGTGAGACATCCTTATTTTTATTTTTATTTCTCAGAGTGCACATCTTAGAAAAATTATTTTGTGTGCCTGACGTATGTATTGTATAAGTACATACACTAGGACCGGTATTCATAGTCAGATCTTATATTCAAGACCGTCTTGAATTTATCTACAGATGCTGTATGAAACATTTCATTGGCTACGGAGTATCTACACTTCAGAAAGGATTTCTGTTACCGAGATAAAAAGTATTCTTGACGCATTTATATTTTGTCACAACCTCATTTAGTAGAAAAATAAGACAATGTCAAAACAAAATCAATAATTCTTATTCTCCTCTATCGAATTAAAAAAGATTGACTTACTATATTGAGACAAGAGTAACTTATATAAATATAAGTTTATATATTCTTGCGTTTAGAATAAATTTTCCCTCCGTCTTACAACGCCGTTGGCACCACGATATTCTACAAAAGACGATACATACTATCATTTTATTCTAGATTTTCGAATTTTTCATTTAAGATTAAAATATTCTTTCTCTATAATAAATATGATTGGCGCTATATCGATCCTATTTCACGATACATTGAACTGTAATAGCATTGGATCCGGAAATTTTGAATATACAGTTTTGAATATAAGATCTGACTACGAGTACCGGCCTAGAAATCACTGATCCTTCCCGTATGAATTTAGGCACAGGTAGAACACATATACATTTTCCATGTATGTATTTGCAAAATGTATAAATGTGTTGATAAGTGCACAATTCATGTGGGAAGGTATCAGTGATTCCTAATGTACGTATATACAATATACATGCTCCATTCACACGTAATTTACCAGAGAACCTCTCTGGAGAATCCCGAACAAAACGAAACGAGCGTGCCCGAGGCGTAATTTATCTGTCAACGCGGTTTCCCGCGGGACAAGCGCGAATCACCCGTTGCGTCTGTCCGTCAAAAACTTTTCTCCTCGATAGACCCGACCTGTCCAGTTCAACCACCACAATCCGCCAGAAAATCCCCCGGAATGTCAAGCCCAGCAGCGCGCGCGAGGCCGTAAAGGACCATCAAGACGAATCCAAATGTCCCGGGAGCCATGCATTGACTGCGACGCAAGCCGTCATGAGAGTGATCAAAGACGATCCGTTGAGATGGACCTGCGAGAGACACGCAACCCCCTCGACAGGCGTCTCCTACGTGACAAGGCCCTCGAATTGGTCGGCGAGCACGGATTGACCGGCACGTTTCCTCGGAATCCCCGCGTTGCTTCAAGGACTCGAGACACGAACGGGGTTAATCCGATGGTCCACGAAGACTGTTCACTTCCGCATCGCGATAATCAAAGGGGACGATAGGCCCGTGCCGTGATAACAGTATCGAACGTTTAGCTTGGGAGAAGAACGATGCCTTTTCCCATTGGGATTTTTGTATTATTCCCCTCCTGAAAGAATGGCATCCGTCCTCTATTTTCGCTCACCCTATACGGAATTAACTCCGACGTTCGGACATTTGTTTCCCTATACATATAGAGCAACATCCGAATATTATAAAAAAAACTTATTAATACACACGCGTGTATAATATTAGTAACAATATTTGCAATATTTAATATCGTCGCAATCGTCA